TTCTTGAAGCCAATCGGCCTGGGGATAAAACCCTTCTATTTAGGCGCCACAGCAATCAAGACTCAAGTACAACAGGAGAGTGTACACAGCTCACAATGGGGGCATACCTGGAGTGACCAGCTAGAGTGATCAGGGAGGCTATGGCACTGGACTCTATAGGACACCTACAGAAGGCCACTCTACCAAGCCCGGGTGATGTATCAGCTCTACTTAATATAAGAACAAACACAGAGGCAACCAAACTGAGGAGACAAAGAAACGTGTCCCAAATGAAAAATAAAATTAAAAAAAGAACAAAAATCAGGAAAAGAACTAAATAAACTGGTAACATGCAATCTAGTAGATGGAGAATTCAAAATATTGCTTATAATGGTGCTTAATGAACTTAGGGAAAAAGTAAATGAACTTAGTGAGAACTTCAACAAAGAGATAAGAAACTTAATAACAGAGATAGAAAACATAAAAAAGAACCAGTCAGAAATGAAAAATACACTAACTAAAATGAAGAATACATTACATGGAGTCAATAATGGAGTAGATGAAGCAGAGGCTCAAATCAGAGATTTGGAACATAAAAAAGCAGAAAATACCCAATCAGGACAGCAAAATGGGGAAAACAAATCCAAAAAATGAGGGTAATATAAGGAGCCTCTGGAACAACTTTAAGCAATATTAGCATTATGGGGGTGCCAGAAGGAAAAGAGAGAGTAAGGAGTTGAAAACCTATTTGAAAAATATAATAACAGAAAACTTCCCAAACCTGGTGAAGGAAATAGACATACAAGCCCAGTAAATGTAGAGAGTTCTAACCAAGATGAACCCAAGGAGGCCCACACCAAGACACATCATAATTAAAATGCCAAAAGCTAAAGACAAAAAGAGAATATTAAAAGCAACAAGAGAAAAGCAGTTACTTACCTACAAGGGAGTTCTCATAACTGTAAGTTTATTTCTCAACAAAAACTTTGCAGGCCAAAAGAGATTGGTAAGAAATATTCAAAATAATAAAAAAAACAAGACCCTACAACCAAGATTACTCTACTCAGCAAAACTGTCATTGAGAATTGAAGACAGATAAAGAGCTTCCCAGATATGAAAAATCTAAAGGAGTTCATCAACACCAAACCAGGATTATAAGAAATGTTAAAGGGTCTTTTAAGGGGAGAAGAAGAAGAAGAAGAAGACAAAGAAGAGAAGGAGGAGGAGGAGGAGGAGGAGGAGAAGAAAACTATGATTAATAAAATGGCAATAAATACAGGGTATCCCCCCAAAATGTATACTAGTAAACACTTTGAATAATTATTAATTCCAATGGGTTAAATCTGAAAAGAAACATAAATTGAGCTATTAAAACAAAGTGTATATACATATATGTCAAAAATTAATTTAAATGCTAATGGATTAAATGCTCCAATCAAAAGACATATGGAGGCTAAATGGATAACAAAACAAGACCCTTACATATGCTATATAGAAGAGGCAGCAGTACTTACACCAGACAAAATAGATCTAAAAAACAAAATAAATGAACAAGCAGAACAGAAACAGACTTAGAGATACAGAGACCATTTTGAAGTTAGCCAGATGGGAAGGGTGTCAGGGGGAAAGGTGAAAAAGGTGAAGCCTTTAAAAAGTACAAATCGGTAGTTACAGAATAGTAACAGGGATGTAAAATACAGTACAATAAGTATTGTCAATAATACTGTAATAACTATATGTCAGATGGCTATTAGAGTTAACAGGGTGGTCACTTAAAAAGTGACATAATGTCTAATCACTGGACTGTATTATTGATATTAACATAATGTATATCAACTTTAATTGAAAAATAATCTTTTTTATAATTTAAATAAAATAATTATGTTCTAATTTTATCATGGGAAACTATGTGAGCTTCATTAACAGAGCTCACCTATTTCACATAATGTCTCTAATATAAAAAACAAGTGTATGGAACAAGGAAATTTCTAAGGTCTTTTCCATTCATAAAATTCTTTAGAGTGAAATAACCTATATTGGTAATTTCAATCTTGATACAATAAAAATGGTTTTCTGCATCAAAGATTTAGGAAAAAATGCCAAAAAAAATATTTGTTGAGGAGCATAGGTTCATGTGGCTTACTATTTCACAAAGAGCCTGTGTTATTCATTTAGGACATTGATTAGTTAGTTACTGAGTTGATGTAAGAGAAACAAGAACTATAAGAAATACCTGTGAAAGTCATATCCTTAAATAAAAAGTTCAAAGAGATTCCCATATGTGTATTTTATTTCTCTTTTTATTTAACACAGTTTGAACCAAATATTTCATTGTTATGCCCTAGACTACTCTGCTAGCTCAAATAAATATTGGATTCCCCAGATATAAAACAATTTTTACCTTTCAAAGGGATTTTGCAAGGTTCCAGTGACCTGTTCCTTAGGCAAACAAAATGTCTTTTTCTGCACATAATTTTGAGTTGAGAAAGGTAAATTGAAATGACATTTTAAAATTTAAAATTAGTTTTGGTAAATTCAATGTTGACAGTGTACTGCTTTGGGGCACCTGACACTTGAGTGATCAGAGAACAGAAATTGCTTAGAGAACTCCTGCTTTTCTGTGTGAAGAAGAATATTTATTTTATTGTATGTTTCTTTGGAACCTTTGAATTTAAAATTGAGCATCAGAAATAGCAAGTTTCTCCCTCCCTCCCTCCCTTCCCCCCTTCCTTCCTTTGTTTCTCTTCTTTTCTTTTTGTGCCTCCATGGCTAGTCTTGAATTCTAACTTCTTAGTAGCGTGGCTGCCAAATATTTTCTCAGAATTTTAGCTCCTCAGATGAAGTGCTCCATTTGTTTTTAGGAGTCACAGCTTGCACAAACAGTTAAGTATTGGACAATTTCTAAAGTGGGGGAATTGCCTACAAATTACTTCTTTTTGGTTCCCTGCCTCTAGTGATATTCCCCTTAAGTTTAGCCACCCTAGAGGCTCTGAACTCCAGACTCCTTTTCTAGTTTGGCTGCCCACATCTTCAGGGTACCATGTTTAATGTGATTGACACGTTCTGAGGAAAGACAAAAAGTGAGGGAGTGGGGGCTCCCCGGGGGTACGTCCAACTGCTGCCTGCCATGGCTGCTCTCCTATGTCTTTAAACAATACTTTTATGTATTTTATTTATCCTCTATAGCAGTGATGGCGAACCTTTTGAGCTCGGCATGTCAGCATTTTGAAAAACCCTAACTTAACTCTGGTGCCGTGTCACATATAGAAATTTTTTGATATTTGCAACCATAGTAAAACAAAGACTTATATTTTTGATATTTGTTTTATATATTTAAATGCCATTTAACAAAGAAAAATCAACCAAAAAATGAGTTTGTGTGACACCTCTGACACGGGTGTCATAGGTTCGCCATCACTGCTCTATAGCTTCCTTCAGTAATAGGATTAATCTCTTAAAGGTTCCGTGTTCATGGTTGGACATGAGAGTGAATACTTTTTAAAAATGAAGTAAGTGTAAATGCATTATAGTGCTGATTTGAAAGACGGAAGTAAAAAGTTAAGAGGAAGCAAACATTTTCTATGATCACAGAGCTAGGTGTTTGTGGAGAAGAAATTAGTATTTTAATTAAAAAAAAAAAATCCAAACTTGTTACTTCACACCCTTCAGATTTCAGATAAACTAGACTTCCAGGGTCCAATTATTGAAGCAGGAATTTGGAGGGAACATAGGCAGGTTTAGGGATTTTTTAAAATTGGGGTCCATGGAAAAGCATGAGGCTGCAGACTGGGAGAAGGTACATTTCCATAACACGAGAAAGCCACGTGCAGTTTCATCTCCATAAGACAAGGGAGCAGCAACAGTTGCATTTGCATAAGACAAGGGAACTGGCAGTAGTCAAGAAAGGTCTATATTTATAAAATAAAGAGAAGGAAGCCCTTCATTCAGATGGAAGACAAGAAAGCCCAGAGAAATGGAAGGACTATGAGGGAGGAGGGCCTCAGGAATCACTATAGTAACCAACTCAAAGGGGAATATTGACCAATCAGAGGGGATATCAGGACACAGGAACTGCAGCCTTTATAAGCCATGGGGAAAAAGAACTCAGTGGGACCCTTTCCCCCTCCCTAAGTGGGAGTTAATTTCATGGGGCTCTTCCCTCTCCTCACGTGGGAGTCTGTATCTATTCTTCAATAAATCTCCACCTTCTGTCCGTGGATTCATTTTTCGATTCCAGTGGACAAAGAATCCGGGTTCCAGTCCAAAAATTCGGTATCATTATGAAAAGATTATATTGAAGAGGAAAATTAATGAGCCAACAATCCCATCTTGTAACAGAATATAACCTTGAGTATTTTCTTATGAATGCTGATTTAATTGAATATTACATTAAAAGGCTGAGGAGAATTTTCCTTAATTAGCAGCTATTGATGAAGTTCACAATTCAGAGGTAGAAGACTGTGGATAGAAACAAACAAAAGACTCCTACCTTTGAACATCACTACCTTGTCTAAAAGTCACACGACAAAAATATTGACATAAGTTATTGTTATAGTAATAAGTTTAGTTAGTATAAGTTAGCATAATCAAATTTCATTTTTTTATTAGAGTGAATTTTAAACTTTACTTAGAAGAGGAACTTAATTTGTGTGTGTGTGTGTGTGTGTGACCCTGATAAGTAACTTGTAACTCCCTGCGTGTTAACTCCTGACAAATAACTTGTAACTCCTGACAAACAACTTGTAACTTCCTGCGTGTGTATCCTGATAAGCCCAGAAGGCCACCGGAGCACACTGATATGAGACACTGAAGAAGCCCACCCATCGGGCATAAAAGAAGGACTCTCACAGCAGCAGTTAGACGCTTGTCTGCCCTCCACAGACAAGACGCTCTCCTTTGCTCCTGGAAACTGCCTTTCCTGCTCTGCTTCTGAGCCCAGACTTGTTAGAGGCCTCTCTTCGTGTCAAGAGACCGAGCACCTTGCAGCTGCGTACTTGACGACCTCCGTGTGTCTCTGTCAGCGTGTGTCTCTGTCAGCGAGTGTCTCCGGGTGGCCTGCCAAGGACTGAAACCCATCAGCTCTCTGGTAAATAAACCTGTGTGATTCTTGCATTTGTTTGCCCCCTGTGTCTTCTCTCTTCTTAGTTTTGGTTAAGCTCGGCCTAATTAATTAATAGTAAGTACCCTTTGACGTCTGTATTGGTATATCCAAATGAGGCGCTCTGGGTCACCTGTGCATACGTTCCCATAGAAGTGGAACAATTATGTATTCAGAATATCCAAAACAATGATCATAAGTGAACCTTTTAAATTAAAAAAAAATGACATTCATTTCATAACATCTTATATGCTTATAGTGCTTTCAATTGCTAAGAAGTATTGTACACTAACACTGCCTTGTAATTCCATGTTATGGAGAAGAAAGAAAATGGATGTACAGGAATTTACCAGGGCAGTGAAGAATTTGGGACAAAGTCAGAAGTGAAACTGAGCTCTTTTGTCTCCACCTCAGCCCCGCCCCCTTTTGCTGCCTTGGAAAAGCTGAATGTATTAAGGATACAGCTTAAGAGCTGTGCCTTACCCTACCTCTCTAGCTCTAGCTTCAGGCATTAGAAAATACAAAATGAACTCGGGAGAAGGGAGGTGGGGGGAAGGTTTCTGAAGCTTTGGCTGAAAATGTGGGAAGCACCTGCTATTTAAAGTGTAGCTGGAATCTTTCTCTCTTCTGATTACCATGGCTCTCAAAGGAACACCACTCCCCTGCATAGATCTTCTCTTGTTTCAGGAATTTAGGGCGATCCCAATGGCAATCTCATGTGAGCATCAGAAACACCATTTGCACATGAATGGCACCCTTGAGCTGGTGTGATACATTAACCTTGGGATTAAGTGCCCTTCTGTTCTCTTCCTTGTTCCACCAATAAAGGTTCTAGCAATGTCCCACCTTATAGTTGTCACTTTTCCAGACATGATAAATCCTGAATATTTTCTGCAACTGTTCACCAGGCTTTCTCTCATGCAAAGAATTTATGAGCTGTTTGATGCCCCCAAACAATTAGAATTTTAAATTTTTACAAAATACAAAATGAGAGTGATTGAATCTCTTCCTTGGGGGCCACACTTGATTGACAGAGGAGCCCCTAAGCAGTGATACTTGGGCTTGAATATGACACACAACATTTAATGAAAAGATTCTGCGCACTCAGTGGATATGAATTTTATGGTTAGGTTAGGAGATGAATACTATTGACAAAAACGATGATGTTCTCACCATGGTATTTCCCTCTGATGGATAAGCCATCATTAGGTATAAAGCTCTTTACTCAGGAAAGATCCTTTCCAATTGACTAGTGCCCTTTCAAGAAATTACTCTCTGACTAGCTCAACAATCTTAAAGTAAGCTCAGAAATGTGAATTTCTCAGAATATAGTTAGAACATCTCACTACAGAAATTATAATTAATTTCATCTATAGATTGAAAAGACTGGCTACAGAAGAACTGTACAAAATAAATAAAATAATGTGCTTCTGTCAAATCTATATAGTTGGTCATCAGCAATCATAGGAACAGGTATTCATGGATGACACAGCCATTTATCTTTTAACTAGACTATAATATTCCTAATTTTTCAAGAACTGATTTATTTAAAGATATCATTATATTTTATAGGTTCGAGTCATTAATTTTTGAATTGTCATAGTAATTTCCATTTTTTACTGAATCCAGTTGCACACTATATAGAATTTGGTAAAAATGGAGTTCTCTTTAATAATAGCTTTCTCTCTGATTCTTAGTATGGGGAAATTAAATTGTACTAGAAGAAACTTTTGCAACAATAGGCTATGAAAAAAAAACTATTTTACACTTTCCTTGAAATATATGTGTTCAAAGATTACCATTACTTAGGTTTGCTAATTTTCTAAATAAGAATGATGATCTCTATGATACTTTTTTCCTTAGGTGTTATCACTTAGCATGTTTTTATTCTGGTCCCAGAAAAAAGGTTAATAGCAGGATTTGACAATTTCCTAAAATGAGCCTTCTTATGTTGCCTAAGAATTCAGAAGAGTTCAGGATTTAATAAAATGCATTTTGTTAAAAAATGAAAATACTTGAGAAAAGGGGCTGTGTGAGGAAGAAGAAGAAATGCAATTGCCGTTAAGTTTTTACCCACAAATGCTGAATTTGAGTTGAGTAACTGATATGAATGAGTTTATGCTTTGATGTCAACTGCTTTACATTAAATTGAGATCTAAATTTCTGTATTTTCTTTTGTTTTTAGGCCAAGGAAAAAAGTGCTGGAAGTATGTGGCATGATAGCCTCAAAATAGCTAATTAAACCATCCCAGTTACCATGATCTATAATGGAAGCTCATCAAAAAGAGATTATTTCATAAGCATGACAAAAAATAATTCAATGTTTAGTAAGATAAACATCAGCTATCATTTCCTTAAAACAAACAAAGAAAAAATCAGTTCACCGAGCACTGTATCCCAACAGGCCATCATTGCTCCTGAAAGCAGCACTCAGATTTGGATGGGGTTGCTTTAAGAAACATTGGCATATTATCACACATGAAGGCAAGCATTTCTTAAAATCTAAAAAGTGTTTGTTTAAATATTTGAGGACAAAGCTGTGGCAAAAGTTAATTGGACCCTAACTTCATATATAGCCAACCTAACAATGCAAAGATAACCATCATCTTCTAAATGTTCATTTCTAAGTACAGTAAAACCTCAATATAATGAACTAATTTGGGCAAAGAGTGTCCATTAAAGCTGAAAGTCCGTTATATCATAAAGTAGGTTTTCCAAATGTGTATGCTAAAAAGTAGGCAAATTAGTTACTTTGCCTGTTTTTACTGATGTAGTCCCGTTTGTATACTTAAAATTATGTATGAAAAGTTTAATTCCATGGAAGTTTTCTATATGTATTACAGTCATTTAACTTATATACTGAATTTATATACTGAATAGATCTAGTACACGCATGCATTCACCAGTCACTGGGAGTAAACAAAGGCGCATGGCTGGGGAGTGGCTTAGTGCAGGTCAGAACATCAGCTGTACATGTTAAAACTGCTGCAGAGCCCAAGCCAGTGTTGCCCAGTGCTTAGAGCATCTGCATGTACCTGGCTTGCATGTTAGATCCCCACCCCATCAGCCCATGCCAGAGGCAACCATTGATGTCCTTCTCTCACATCAATGACTCTCCCTCTCTCTCTCTCTCTCTCTCTCTCCCTCTCTCTCTCTCCTGCTTCCCCTTCCACTCTCTAAAAAATTAATGGACAAAAACATCCTGAAGTGAAGATTAACAAAAACAAACAAATAAACAGAAACTCCTGCAGAAAGTCACGCTGTGGGACAATTACTGATTTCTATGGGGTGTGATCACGTGCTCATCATCAGAATGCAGAAATGCTTTGTTTCATTGTGAGATACCAGCCATGCCCATCAATGGCTAGCTATTAGAGCACAGTCCCAACCACGGCCTCTGTGTTTGTGTTTCTACATGGCATCTACCACTTCAGAATTTATTTTTTTATTAATTTAGCCTCCATAGCTCAAATTTTTTCTTTATTAACATTTTCTCAATATTTTTGCATTTGACTTCAATCATGATAATATATTCTTGTGTATGAATATTGTCATTGGAGGATTCTTAGCCATTTCTGGTTGTAGTTGAGTCCCATGGAGGGTTATTGTTTTCTGATTGTTCGCCAAGCTAGACATGACTGCTTCAAGACTAAAAATAAAGACTTGTTTTCTGTCCTCTACATCAAGTTGGAAATTTATTCAAAATCATTCTCTAACACAATATGTATTATCACCTCAAATGGATTGTAAACTAGTTACAAGTCCTCTATGATGCCCAGTGAGAGAATTATGTATTTTTATTTACCATTGCAATCATCAACATAAAAATAATCAAGGGAGAGATTTAAAATGTTATTAATCTTTCTGACTCTTTAGCTGATATTTTTCCATAGTAAAAATTTCTATGTATATTTATTCCATATATTCAGGTTTTATAATGTCGATTTGTTTTCATTATCAGATTGTCTCATGATAGGATTTATTCAGCTACTTAAAGTTCTGCACTTCATGAAATGCATGAGTTTTTTCAAAATTATATTAATTCAGATGTTGTGGCCAAATTTTGGTGTTGTGAGAGATCCAATTGTGCAAATATTGGAACAGGTATCCTCTTATGTTTGTACAAGCAGCTTGGAGATATTGTGGGTTCGGTTTTATAGCAATAACATGAATGTTGCAATAAAGTGAGTCACATGAATCTTTTGATTTCCCAGAGCCTGTTTACATTATTCTGTACTTTATTAGGAGTGCAATAGTATTTTATCTAAAAAAAATGAACATAGCTTAATTAAAATATCATTGCTGGGGATTGTCTTGCCTCAGTTTGACGGTTGCTGACTGATCAGGGTGGTTGTTGTTGAAGGTTGGGGTAGCTGAGGCAATTACATAAAATAAAACAACAATAAAATTTGCTGCATCAATTGAATCTTCACGTCACTGATGATGCCTCTGTAGCATATGATGCTGTTTGATAGCATTTTATCCACAGTAGAACTTCCTTCAAAATTAGAGTTATTCCTCTGAAACCCTGACACTGACTTATCAACTAAATGTATGTAACATGTAAATTGTTGGCATTTCAACACTCTTCACAGCATCTTTACTAGGAATATATTTCATCTCTCAAGAAACAACTCTCTTTGCTCATCCTTAAGAAGCAACTCCTCATCCATTAAAATTTTATGGTGAATTGTAATTCAGTCACATCTTCAGGCTCTACTTCTAATTTTATTTCTCTTTCTACAATATCTGCAGTTATTTCCTCACTAAAGTCTTGAGCCCTCAAAGCCATCCATGAGGGTTAGAATCAACTTCTTCCAAACTCCTGTATATGCTGATATTTTGACCTCTTCCCATGAGTCACTAATATTGTTAAAGGCATCTAAAATGTGAATTTTTTCCAAAAGTTATTAATTTACTTTGCCAAGATCCATCTGAGGAATCATTATTTATTGCTTAAATAATGAGACTTGAAAGTCAAAATTACT